ATTCGTTTAGCAGTACTTGTTCGAAGACATTAAAATCTGATGAGTATCCCTCCATGGGGGCCGCCATCTTTGATCAAGCGAGACAAGCGAGCGCACAGCGAGCGCTCGTGTGTCGTTCAGGAGGCGCTGCGTTCGTTCATCGAGCGTTCGCATCGAGCGCTCGCTCTCCTGAACACGCCTCAGCTTTTGAAACTTGCGCGCAAACGTTCGCTCGCGCTCGCTCGCGCAGTGTCGTTCAGAAGGCGAACGCTAGCGAGCGCTAGCGAGCGTTCGCTCTCCTGAACACGCCTCCGTTATTGAAGTGCACACGGTCTCTCTCTCTCTCTCTCTCTCTCTCTCTTAGCTTCAGTAAGACAGGAAATGGTACGGGGAAAATTGCAGCAGGGAAAAAGAGCTGATCTACGTGTGCTTGCATCCATTCATGTGTGTTGTGGCGACACATTGCGCAATCATTTACGCAACTATACCTCCTCTCGAAAAATTCGATTCTGATAATAGAGATAGATCTCGATATTATGTACTCTTGTTGCTATGTAGCTGGCGAGAAACAAATTTAGAGATGTATGCGCGCAAGTATAAAAAAAAAACCCCCGGCTGAGCGATAAAAACTCGCTGGCGTTTTAGAGCCGTCGTAGCTGCAGATGAAGATCCTGCTAGTTACTGTATTGCTGAAGCTGTGCATGTAGGCGAGCGAGGTCTGTGAAAGATGCCCATCCTCGCCCACATCCGACACTTCTTCAAAACCAAGCTTCACTTTTCCTCTTTATGACTAGCCGATAATGTGTTTTACTGCACGGTGGTATGGTAATTTTATGCATTGCCCAGCCAGCATGTCGCTTTTCGCGACAGCTATGCAATGTGAATTCAAATGTTTATTAGCCAGGTAAAGATACATGCCCTGTGCATTTATGCAGATAAACCGTACATATAGTGTATCAAATGTTTGAGAGACAATAATAGCCGAGAACGCTATGTAAGGCGGCCAATTGAGGAAACTTATAATCATGTCGATTCTGTAACATTTTACGAAATTTGTAGTTCCATTAACTCGTATGTGACTGCTAAAAAACTGCAAGAATCTACATGTAGTATTTCTGGCCATTTTCTGACGAGGAAGCAGCAATGTGACAATAAACATACCGAATTGTAACCCGAGTAAAAATGGGTATTACGAAAATTCTCCGTTATTCGACGAGAAGTGTGGATTTACATATCGGAGTATGCCAGGCTGTTATACCACCCAGAGAGCCTACATACTATGCTAGTGAAGAGCCGGAGTGTAGCGTTACAGTGCCGCATTCGCAGAGACAGATATTGCCCGATCTTTATCGTCGTTGACGTAAATCGTGGATTGCATGATTCATATATGTGGATTGAGGTTTTTGTTACGAGGTTTAATCAA